ACTGGGTAACAGGCAGAGTTGGAAGAGTTTGGAGTGCTCAGAAGAAGACAGGAAGATGAGGGAAAGTTTGGAACTTTATAGAGACCAGTTAAATTGTTGTAACCAAAGTGCTGATAGTGTTACAGGCAGTGAAGTCCAGGCTGCCAAGGTCTCAGACGGAAATAAGGAACTTACTGGGAACCTGAGCAAAGGTCACGCATGTTATGCCTTAGCAAGGAGCTTGTCTGCATTCTGTCCGTGCCCACAGTCTCTGGGGAAGTTTGACCTGGAGAATGGTGAGGGTATCTGGCAGAGAAAATTTCTAAGCAGCAAAGCGTCTGCGATGTGGCTTGGCTGCTTCTAACAGCCCATGCTTCAATGTGGGGGCAAAGAAATAAAGTTGAAATTTAAACAGAAAGCTTGGTGTAAAAGTTTGGAAGATTTGTGGCCTGGCTGTGTGCCAGAGAAAGAAAAAGCTCTTTTGGGAGAGGAATTTAAGCACGCTGTGAAGCAACCATTTACTAGAGAAATGGGCATAACTAAAAGGGAGCCAAGTGCCATTAGCCAAGCCAGTGCAAAAAAGGCCTTGAAGGCATTTCAGAGGCCTTCCTTCTACCAGAGACCTAGGAAGAAAGAATGGTTTCATGGACAAGGCCCAGGGCCCTGCTGCTCTGCACAGCCTCAGGACGCTACTCCCTGTATTCTGGCTGCTCTGGCTACAGCCTCAGCTCAAAGGGCCACAGAAACTGCTCATGCCACCACTTTTTTCTTTTATTTTTTATTTTTTTTAAGACAGAGCCTTGCTCTGTCACCCAGGCTGGAGTGCAGTGGTGTAATCTTGGCCTACTGCAACCTTCGCCTCCTGGGTTCAAGCGATTTTCATGCCTAAGCCTCCTGAGTAGCTGGAATTACAGGCATGTGCCACCATGCCCAGCTAATTTTTGTATTTTTGGTAGAGACAGGGTTTTGCTATGTTGGCCAGGCTGGTCTCAAACTCCTGACCTCAAGCGATCCACTTGCCTCAGTCTCCCAAATTGCTGGGATTACAAGTGCGAGCCACCATGCCTGGCCTCATGCCATCACTCTGAAAAGCACAAGTCAGAGACAAGCCACAGTAAGCCTAGAAGCCTTCCATGTGATGTTAATTAAGCATGTAGATATACAGAGTGCAAGAGTTAGGAGGCCTCCACCTAGATTTCAGAGGATGTATGGAAAAGCCTGGGTGTCCAGGCAGAAGCCTGTCACAGGGGCAGAGCCCCCACAGATAACCTCTACTAGGGTGGGGTGGAGGGGAAATGAGTGATTGCAGCCCCTCTACAGAGTCCCCACTGGGGATTTATGCAGATGTAGTAGCTGGTTTAAAACAGGCAGAATATGCTGAGTCCTACCTCTCACTATTATTGCGTTGGGGATTAACTTTGAACATAGGAATTTTGGGCAAATGCAAACACTCAGTCCACAGCACAGGGGAATAATTATTTGATTGACTGGATTTCTCATCAGGAATGGTGGGAACAGAAGACAGGGGGCAACACCTTTAAAGTACTGAGAGAAAAGCACTGTCAACCCAGAAATGTATATCCAGCAAAATATTCCTTAAGGAATATTTTGGACAAGGGGGCATAAAGAACATTCTCAGATGAAGGAAAACTAAGAAGATTCATTGACAGCAGACTCCCTCTAAAATACATACTTCTGGCTGACGGGAAATGATTCCAGAAGGCAACTGGGAACACCAGGAATAACAGAAAATCTACAGACATGTTAAATAGCTGGGTAAATATATATATTTTTTCCTTTTAAAATCTGTATGACTGTTGAGCACAAAAATTATGTTTATATATTATGAACTTAAAAATGTATGTAGCTATAATATATATGATGACCGTCAAATCAAAATGGGAGGGCAATGGGACAAGTCTGATGCTGAAGCTGGGAGGCTGTGGGTGGGTAATTGAGAAAAGAAAATGGGTGTAAGGTGGGGAGAGCAAGGAGAGTCAGACACCCCTTTGGCAGGAAGGAGCCCTAGCTGCAGGCCTGGCTGCTGCCCCATGCTAACAGGCCTGCAGATACATGACAATAGCCAGGAGCTGCCACAGTAGTGCCTGGTGTCCCTGTGGCAACTTCCCGAGCATGAGAATAGGGCTGCTGCATTTCTGGCTTCCAAATCTCACAATGTCTCCTGTGGCCCACTCTAAAGGAAAATATAGGAGTTTTAGCAATGGATCCTGCTGAGGTTGACAAATTATAAACCCACTACACTCTTGTCCCTTCCTTTCCAGAACCCCCGAGAAGGACTGGAATTTTGGAAGTTATTGGTGAAAAAAAATCAGAAGAGAACTCAAACCCCAACTACTATTTTCAGGCAAAGAAAGGGCAACCCGCGGAGGCCATGAATGGCCCATGGCCAATGCCAGTGGTGGCACTACGGCAATCTCCAGCTTCCTTTCCAGGTAACCCCATCTGCCCACCCCCTGAAGGCCTGTTTCTGTAGCAGCATGGCCAGCTTGGCATTCTGTCTTGCTTGGGTACTTACTGTAACAACTATAAGCAAGGGTTTTTAGGTAACAAGAACTGAGTTAGGAACTGCAGCTTTGCTAGTTCTTAGCTAGCTCATCCTCAGCAAACCATTTCACTGATGTAACCCTGTTTTAAAATCTGTGCAATGGGAATGATAGTGTGTACATCATGGGCTTTATGGGAGAGCTGAGATGAGGCACAGGGAGAGCAGAAGCCTTGCAGACAAGCACTCACTCTGTGCACCATGGGTTCCTTGAACTCAGCGCTAGCACTGCATTGTCTTGCTTAGGGAGCAGCTATTCTGGCATCTCATTGCTGGGGGCCGGAGAACATCTCAAGACTGATGGCCTGAGACCTCATTGGCCACACTGATTCATCATGCCAGCTCTTCCTAGACTTGAGGAGCCTCCTCCCTTCTCCCTTCCAATGGTGTCAGGAGTCACCTGAGCTGTTTTATTTACCTTCTCTTGGCCCTGCTCTGCTGCCCTTGGAAACCTCTCTTCTGAACACCTCGTCCAGGGCACCCGGAGATGAGGTGCTGAAGAAGGAACACATGATCCCTTCTGGGCTCCTGGGGTTTCTCTTTCCTCCTGACCTTAAAAGAGCCAGGCTCCCATGCTGGTTGCTCAATGGAATGACCTGGGAGTGATTTTTTTTAAAACCTGAGTTAAAAAAAAAAAAAAAAAGCAATTGCAATCAGATGAAAAAAAAATTTTTGGGAGGGGGGCAGGGTCTCACTTCATGCCCAGGCTGGAGTGCAGTGGTGCAATCTCTGGTCACTGTAACCTCTGCCTCCAGGGTTCAAGCGATTCTCCTGTCTCTGTCTCCCTACAGGTACCCGCCACCACAACCAGCTAATTTTTGCATTTTTAGTAGAGATGGGGTTTCACCTTGTTGGTCAGGATGGTCTCAAACTCCTGACCTCAGGTGATCCACCCACCTCGGCCTCCCAAAGTGCTGGGATTAAAGGTGTGAGTCACCATGCCTGGCCTAAAAACTTAAAAAAAAAAAAAAAAAAAAAAAAGGTTAAAAAACCAAGGGCCTGGTCTGGCACAATGGCTCATGTCTGTGATCTCAGTACTTTGGGAGGCCAAGGCAGGTGGCTCACCTGATGTCAGGAGTTTGAGACCAGCCTGGCCAACATGGCAAAACCCTACCTCTACTAAAAATACAAAAATTAGCTGGGTGTGGTGGTGGGCGCCTGCGCTCCCAGCTACTTGGGAGGCTGAGGCAGGAGAATTGCTTGAACCCAGGAGGCGCAGGTTGCAGTGAGCTGAGATTGCGTCACTACACTTCAGCCCAGGTGACAGAGCAAAACTCCATCTCACAAAAAATAAAATAACAACAAAAACCACAAAAATACGAAGGGCTGCATCCCAAAACCACTAAATCAGCAATGCTAGGATGGACCTGGGCAACCAGACTTTTTAAAAAGCTCCCCAGGTGAGCGCATTGTGCATCCCTAAGGTTGAAAACTCCCAACCTGACAATTCTGTGGTGATGCTGCTTGAAAACAAAGGCAACTGTGTCTGCTGAGCTGACAGGACAGCAACGCAGAGTTCCTCCTCCCGCGGTTCCAAACACCCAAACTACAAATGCCATCTCTGCCACTTGACTTGGCAAACTCCTTCTGTACAGGACACGGTGACAATAACTCAGGTCTTTTGAGTCATGGAGGGATCCCTTGTGTACAGAAACTGCCTTTGTGGTGCTGTACAACACTATCAATTCTATTTAAGCTGAGGCTAAATTTTAGTTTCCTCCCTGAATTATTTATTCCTTAAACAATGAATGGTGAAACCCAGGAACTGCGCGTGGTGGACGTATCACGAGAGAGATGTCTGGTGACTTGAAAAACCATTGCGAAGGCTGCTGCAGTTAACAAATTCCATGAATGACTACCATGCAGCACTCATTTCTCGCCTGGTCATTTGGCAAATTTATTATTTCCAGTAACTCCCAAACACACCATTTCACCCTCCCTGGTCATTTGTATATGCATACTGAACGAGCCAAGCAGGCCAAGTGGGCTGCGTGCACATGCTCTGGGTACAGAATGAGACACGGAGGCTGAGGTCAAGTGCCTTTTAACAGGCACAAGCGTGGGGAAGCTGACTACATTTCCGGAAGTTATTGCTTTTATAAAGTGTGTTCCACTCTATAACCATCAGCAATTACCCCTGACCAGGGCAATTATACCCTGTCCCTCCACCAGTGCCTCTGGGAGCTCCTTTCATGGGTCATTGTTCATCTGTTCTCCTATTTCACGTCCTTCCCAATTCCAGCCTAATGGTGAGCATGTACTTCTGTTGGACCAAACTTCAGTCTGTACCTGACACCACAGCTGCCTCAATGCACCTCATTACCGTACGGAGAAGATTCCAAAAGCAGCTGGGGAGGAGGAGGGCCGGGCTGGATACTAAAACTTTTTATATCTGAATTACACAAATCCCCACCAAGTAATTTCACCATAAAGCAAACCAAATGGCAGGCTAAATGAATTATGTTAGTACCTTGGAGTTTACTTCAGTAATACATAATTTCTAATCCATGTCTGTCTTCTCGTTTCTGCTTTTAATTCTGCCATTTCCTCTTAAAATTTAGGGTTTAACAAAGACAACAGGGCTACTGTTGGCCAAATCCCAGCTATGAATTCACAGCATAGAAAGAGTCAAAGCTATAGCAACAGATTGCTAATCTGCACAACTTTAAAAAATAGTTCAGTACATTTTTGTTATAAAATTCATTTACAGGTTATTCACATGTACTTGTCAAATTTACTCCTGATAATTCACAAAAACATAACTCAACAAAGTGCACAATAAATCCAAGGCAAATTATATACAACGAAAACAAGTTTTTAAGTAGCATATATTCATGTTGAAATAATGAATATTGAAAGAAAGGGCACTTTCTTCTAATGCCATGGCAAAGATGAAGAAAGGTGCCAAAAGCCACACTTTGCACCTTGTAAAAAGAACAACACTGTTCAACAATGCTGCGCTGACAGCCACATCGAGAGGGACCACAGTAAACATATGAGATAATTTCGGCAAATTCTTGTACCAACTGGAACAAGTGAAGTTTCAAAAGTAATGTCAGGTACAACTGCATTCCTCTGTGAGAGGCCATCACAGGACACAGGCTCGTTTTTTGAAAGGGTGAAGTTGTTCTACTAATCCTTGCATAATCAGATGCGGTGAGAGGGCAACCAACAAGTGAGCACAATGTAAGAACAGGCATCAAACATAACCGGAAATAGTATTGTTCAGTGTGTGGCAGTGAAATATGCATTTTAGAAAAAACTTATTTCTCAAATCACGAGTTAGTAATATTAGCATAAGCAGTGTGGAGACATCCTGAGCCACGACTCCCTGTAGAAGTTTAGGGGTTTGCACATTCCCTAAGTGGTCACACTACAAGTGTTCTGCTAAAACGGGCACTTCACCAAGATAACAGAAAAATAAAGTAACATTGAGATTTCTTCCCAAAGGCACATGGAAAAGGCTGATAGGAGCCCCAGACCCAGACAGAGTGGGGCTGTCCCTGCCCGTCCTGAACTTTCGCACGCTGCATGGCCAAAGACAAACTCCCCACCGCCAAACAGGAAGCAGAGGCTGACTGTGGGGACTAAGCAGTTACCTGTTCCCTGGGTTTCAGAAATGTTCAGTTGACATTAGTCAGATGTCCAGACACCAGCGAGAGGGACACAGGTAATGAAATAGAATGTTCAAACTTTTGACAACCAAAAGCTCTTTATAATCTGCTCAAGTAGAATTTCTAACACAAAATCCTCTTTTGCTTAAAAAGCAGATGATAAGGAAAATGTCAAATAGTGCACATGAATCTTCAGCTATTTGCCTACCCCCAAATGAGGTAAGGGGCTGCAGAGCATTCACTGCAGACCCCTAGTTACTACAACTATCAACTATACAGTCTCATGTTTAGGAGACTCCAAATTCAGTGTGGATGTTTAGAAAATTGGACAAAATCAGGCAGCCGCTCACTTGTCCCGAGCCTCCTCAATCTCGATTCACCATGGCCAATCCCCCTCCCCACCACCACCAAAAGCACTATTACCTCTAACAGTAGCTGAAAACACCCATCAGATACTCTAAACAGCATGTATTTTCACCAGGTAGATGATTTCTTAAGATCACAGGAAGTCGCCAACTCTCCTCCCAGTTCAGAACTCCTCTTTGTTACCCTTTAAACCGGGAGCTTCTTTCCCACCTGAAATATTCTAGTTGGCCTGCCCCAGTGGTTCCCAAGCTGCCTGGTGACCAGAATCCCTTGGAAATGTTGAACACACAGCTCCCCAGGCTTTCTGGGCAACTACTTAGATCTGTCTGACAATCTGCAAGCTGAGGAGATTCTTCCACAGCTGACCCAGTGCTCATCTAGCATTTGGCAACCATGTCTGTACCTCACCAGTCACACAAAGCTCACAATATGCTAGGAGCATTTGAATGATAGTTCAAGAATTATTCTTTCATTCCATATTCTTCTCTTTCAAGAAGATTAGGAGTTTCAGCTAGGGAACTATGTGCATACTAAAACAGGAAAGGAGCTCATCACAGAAATATAATACCCTGGGGCCAACGTACTGCATCTAAAAATGCACCATGTCAGCAGGACTTTACCTAACATAACTGTGCTGCCCGAAGTGTCCCCCAGCAGACTCCAGTGCTGTTGTTGTTGTAAACAGAACTAGAGACTTCTCACCCACCAGCGCTAACTCAGCTCATTCCAAACTAGGCTGTTAAATCCACCTGTCTTGCCGTAACAATGGTTGAAAGGACCTGCCCTCCTCCCATCTTTTTAATATAAAGTTTGTTCTGTTGAAAAATGTCTAACATTTTAAACAGGGGAAAGGAAGGCAGTCTACTAGATTAAATTTTAAAAGAATTTTGTTATTTGCTATACAAATATACATTTCAACCTTTACAACATTCACTCCAGGCTGACCTCCTTGTCTACAGAAGAGTAAGAGATCAACATTTCCAGTCTGACTTCAAGGACATTATTACTGATACACAATGCCCTCTGAAAGCTTTTGCAAATGACAGGAAGTACTGAAGATGACCAGAGGCTCTGGTGTTAAAGATGCATTCTCCATGTTTTCCAACAGCACACAAACTCCTTAAGAAAAACAAATAAGCTTATCTAGATGGCCTCCTGCTGGTCATCTTCAGTTGACAGTATGCTGTGGCTGCTAGTCCATGGCATCTGGCTTTCCTATAAAAGCTTTCTTTTCTTGGAATTGCTTTCCTCCTTCTCCAGTCTCCTCTTGTCCCAGCGAGAGTTCCTCTTGGTATAATGGGTCTCAGAACCACAGTTCTCCTGCTCCCCTTCACTGAAAGCCCTAGCGTCTCTCCTATGACAGAGCTCCCCATCCGGGTCATCACATTTGCTCTGACACGTGGAAGCCTCGGTGCTGGCAGTTGGAGGTTCACCCTGCACAGGAGGTCTGAGGCTGCTCAGAGCAGCCGCTAGAGCAGAGGGCTGTAGTACGTTACCCAGGTCCTGGTGAACGCCAGGGAAGCCTGGCTCTCCTGCAGGCGGTGTTACTCCAGGATGCTGGGGGCTCGAGGGTTGTGGATCCCATAGGAATATTCCTCCTTTGACCTCAACGCCCATCCTCTTCAGCAGTCGTGGGTCCCGAAGTTGGTCTTGAACAGGAGGTCTTTCAGGGTCCTTTGAAATAACAGTGAGAGGAGCTTCCTTGGAGTCGGAGGGTGTGTGGTATAGAGAGGCAGCAAAAGATGTCTTAGCAAATCCACTGTCTAGCTTAGGGCTGGGTAAGCCACCCTGTGGCCTGGACACCTCTGGGGCTATGGCAGGAGGGTGAGTGAGACTTCTCTGCAGCACAGGCTTGAGTTTCAGAATCTTCGTTACATCGTGTCTATAGTTTTTGTCACAGGTCTTAATAATGGCGCCACGCTTCTGAGCATCCTGAATCAGCTGATTCCAATGCTGGTTTTCCTTGAAACAATGAGAAGGGAGAAAATAATTACACCCCAAAGAAACACTGCTTGGGAGGCACAGAGTTTCAGCTTTCATTTCTGAATAATACATATTATTGTATGAACAGATTCTCAAGATCCATTACTCGTCAGACAAGATCAAAGGAAAAAATGCATTTGATTACAAAATTATAAAGTCCCATTTCTAAAAAAAAAAAAAAGACCTGGTCACAGCCTGTAAGGAAGAACCTCAACCATTTTCATGAGTGCAGTCAGCTGCAATGCAGGTCTGCACTGGCCACTAGGAGCGTCATGTCACTATTTACATTTCAATTAATTAAAATGAAACAAAATTAAAAATTCAGTTCCTGAATTGCATCAGCCACATTTCAAGTACACAGCAGTCACCCATAACTAATGACATTTCCATGATCACAGAACCATCCTTTGGATACTGGTGATCTAGAGCACTGCCTACACCTCTTGGCACGGCTAACATTCTCAAACAGGAAGGGCTGGTTTCAGAAAGCAAACTTCCAAGGGCACATGACTGTTCTAGAAAAGGCCCACAGCTTTCGTTGGATTTCCAAAGGCCTCCCAAACCCCAAATGGCTAAAACATCTTAATCCACTGAGATTTCAAATATATTATCCCACTTTCTACCTGTTTTCTAGAGGAGCTTAAGACATAAAATCGCATCTCAGAAAAGTTGCCAAACACATGCATTCTCCTGTCTTCCCTAGAGTTTCTTTAACAGGAGACTGCTGCTTTACAACCAATAGAACTTGGGTCTCTTTAGAAACAAGAAAGAGAAGAAGAAAAAGGAGAGCTACTCTCTCATGGGGGCTCCTGTGCTATTCATAAAGGTAAGTCAGGGAAGCAGTGGAGCTACACAGTATTTACTTGCTGTGCGACCTTGGTCAAGTCATTTGACCTCTCTGAGCCTGTTTCCTCATCTGTAAAATAGGAGTAATATTTTATTTAATGGATTCTAAAGTTGCACATTGCTTTTGCATTTTACCATTTCTGAGCTTGGGGAGCCTCTTGGCCACGTACCTATCCTTGGGGATTTCATGATGAGGCAATTATAACCCTTTGACTTTTAGTCAATAAATCATTTAAAGATCTTGCCTAAAAACCTTCTACAGACATTTTCTGATAAGACAAGAAAACACCAGCATTAAACCTTATGCACTGGGTGGGCACAGTGGCTCACGCCCGAAATCCTAACACTTTGGGAGGCTGAGGTGGGCGGATCACCTGAGGTCAGGAGTTCGAGACCAGTCTGGACAACATGGTGAAACCCGTCTCTACTAAAAATACAAAAATTAGCCAAGTGTGGTGGCACACACCTGTAATCCCAGCTACTTGAGAGGCCGAGCCATGAGAATGGCTTGAACCCAGGAGGCAGAAGTTGCAGTGAGCTGAGATTGCACTACTGCACTCTAGCCTGGGCGACAGAGTAAGACTCTGTCCCAGAAAAAGAAAAAAAAAACACAAAAACACAAAAAACCTTATACACTGGAGATCAAGGGTTCTAAGAAAACCCTGGAAGCAATGGTGAAACTCTTAGCAAATGCTAAATTGCCCACCTCATTGTTGTACCAGGGATGAATGACAACACTGATGACTATGGATTGGGAAATGATTAATCAGTGCTAGATTCTCAAAGGGGAATATTTTTAGGAATATCTTAACCTATTATTTTACTTGTATTTTCTCTTTTACATATACATAAGAATATGATAAAAATCTGTCTAAAATCTTAAAAGAGCCCTTTCAATGAAGTTCTAAGTGAAAATAAAGTTTATAATCTAATAGTAATATATAAAATAGTGATGCATATTACAATTAATGGTTTCTTGAATTTGATAAACTATGGTAATAAGCTGACTTCACAGGATTTTTTCAAGTTTGGAGAAAGTCATGTGACTAGAAGAAAATGTTTGGCACGGTGACTGTCATATTCCAGACAGGTCTTTGGAGGCAGCACCAGGCTCTGTGGCTCAGTTATCTTTCTCACTCAGATCTCTAGAGATTCTTAGCCTGTGGTTCAAACACATATGTGAAGCAGATGGCCTTGCTATTTCTGCTAAGTTTACTACACCTAAACTTGGTGTTTAATCCATTCCTAAGATCACAAAAACAGTTCTGAGCAGGCACTATTAGCCTTGGTTTCTCCGAGGAAGCCAAATGCTTTAATGATGATCCCATTTCCATAAGGGAAACTAGGCTAAAGAATTAAAAACAAGCAAATCCCCAAAGCAATAAAGAAAAAGCCCAAGAACAAAAAAAGTTAGGGAGCCAGCTGACAAACTGGGAATGTTTAGGTTCAGGTCTGTCCATCTCTTTTTGTAGCACTGCCTTCCTAGAGTGGAGACTGTGTTGGTGCCATTAGCTGGAGGTTAGTGGCCTGCACAGTTGTGGAGTGTGACCCAGGGGCTCCCAAACACTGTCTAAAGGGAATGTGAGAAGGGTTACGGAATAAGCTTCCAAACCCCAGACCTTGGACTGTCCTGCCTCCTGCATCCCATCCTCACAATCACAAGGAGCCTCAACCACACACAGGGTGCACTGCCAAGACATATAAAAACTCTGAGATGCCGCCAGGCACGGTGGCTCACGCCTGTAATCCCAGCACTTTGAGGCCAAGGCGGGTGGATCACGAGGTCAAGAGATCGAGACCATCCTGGTCAACACGGTGAAACCCCGTCTCTACTAAAAATACAAAAAATTAGCTGGGCATGGTGGCGC